TGGGAGTTGAAGTCTATAAGTCTTAAAGTTGCCAAGGTTGGAGACCCTTGCCTTAGTGTAATGTGTGAACCAAGCCTATCTCTGAAGCTTCAGTGAAGCATAGCATGAACGTGGTGTGCTCTGTTCTGGTTGGGTTGGAGGCAGGAACTCTTACCTGCATACTTCATTCCCAGGGACTGAAACTCGTGGGAATTCCATCCTGCCCAAGACCATATGTCATGTTGTGATCGTGTGACAACTTTTATTATTTAGGGAGAAAGTAGGGAGATAAGGTTACCTCTACCCCACAGCTGCAGAATTCCAATGGAATACAGAATAAGAGAGTTGGAAGGGTCCTTGGAGGTCTTCTAGTCCAACCCCAGGCTCAAGCTGGAGATCCTATACCATTCTGTACAAATCACTGTTCAATCTGTTCTTAAAAGCCTACAGCGACAAGAGGACCCACAACTTCTGAAGGCCAGCTGTTCCACTGATTGATTGAGATAGATAGTTGACAGATGAGGAGGGGAGGGAGTGGGAGAGAGAGAGAGAGAGAGAAATGGAGAGATGATAATAGATAGATAGATAGATAGATAGATAGATAGATAGATAGATAGATAGATAGATAGATATAGAGAGACAGAGAGAGACAGACAGACAGACAGACATAGGTAGGTAGGTATCAAGAATTCCCTTGGAATTCTGCAGCTGTGGGACATAAGTAACACCAATCCCTTCTTTACCCTAAATAAGGAAACAAAAATGGTCACATTTAATATATATTTGAAAGAACTCCCTCTTATGGATAGCATTTGAAATCCTGAGCTCGAGAGCATCCTTGTAACTTAATTGCTAAAACTTAAAATAGAACTGATGCTTCTGGCTCTGAGGCAAGTGGCTATCTCATTTCTCTGATGTAGCACTTTCGCACCAGAAGGGCGAGCATACAGTAAAGCATACAGGACACTAAATATAAAATGCTGAGTGTTCATTTACCTTACTTTTGCAAACAGAAGTCTTGCACAGCTTCCTGATTGCAGACCCAAACCCAGATTGTAGACCCAGTGAACTCCAATCGAGTCCAGTCCTTCATTTACTTGCACCCAATAGACAGGATCTTGCCAAACTAAAGCGATGAGTTTTTTAAACTATTAGATACATCTTGAGAGATTCTCAGGTGTGGCTACCGTGATTCTCTTCCCTGCTTCCGCTCAGGACTGTGAAGTCTCTTGATGTGGGCCTCTCTCTGGGAAACCTCTGTGTTGCCCAGTCTCCACCCACTTTTCCTGCAGGTGCACATTCCAGCACACTGATGGCCTTTTAGTCTTCTTTATACTAGACTGTAAATATGGTTTTCCCAGTTGCAATGTAGGGCTGTGAAAGTTGGGCCATAAGGAAGGCTGAGCGCCAAAGAATGGAGGCCTTTGAACTATGGTGCTGGAGAAGACTCCTGCGAGTCCCTTGGACTGCAAGGTGATCAAACCGGTCAGTCCTAGAGGAGATCCACCCTGACTGCTCTTCAGAAGGCCAGATCCTGAAGAGGAAACTCAAAGACTTTGGCCACCTCATGAGAAGGAAGGACTCATTGGCCTAAGGCTGGGAATGATTGAGAGCAAAAGAAGAAGAAGGGGACGGCAGAGGAGGAGGTGGCTGGATGGAGTCACTAAAGCAGTAGTCATGAGCTGAAATGGACTCCGGGAGATGGTAGAGGACAGGAAGGCTTGGAGGAACGTTGTCCATGGGGTCACGATGGGTCGGACACAACTTCACAGCTAACAACAACATACTAGACTTCTAACATTTCAAATTTGTCCAGTTCTAAGATTGTAAGCCCTTGGCTTTTCAGAAGAATAGGAAGAGTTTGTATATTGTTCCATCTTGTGCAGAGAGAATGATTTGGGGCCACCTACCCGAATCTATAGCTAAGTTAACCCTTCCTTAAGTAGCCATTCTTTATACTATGCCTGGCACAAAAGCAATCCCCAGCTTTGGCTTGGTCTTGTATTACACGTGATCTTCCTTCTCTCGCTTCCCCTTCTCTCGCTTCCAGTCTGACCTGGACCAGGTGTTGCATCATAGACTAAGCCATAGTTCATTTAATCATCTGTTGTAGAGTTAATTTTGGCTGGGTCAAAATCAAGGGGACCACACCCATGGCCTAGGTAGAATAACATGTGAACTCAGTCCCTGACTCTCTGCTAACGTGATATTTTTTCCTACTAAGATGATGTACTTATTACTTTTCTACATTTTGACTCTTCCAGAGATGAAGAGAGCAACAGTAGCACCGAGACAGATTCTACAGAATTAGCCAGTATTGTTTGACCTTACCTTGTCTTGGTTTACCCCCTGGGATCCTCCAAACACAGGGCCACCATGACATCTACTGTGAAAGACTTGCTTCCATGGGAGAGCACTTGTGAAGCCTTAAAGACTGCTCTGGAAATCAAATATTGATCGACGTTGTGCCTTAAGTGGGATCCATGCATCACCAATTGTCAAACATACTTTAGCTTTTGGTACTCCAATAAGATACCTCTTACAAGAACAAGCATCATCTCATCTGTGCCTTTTACCAGAATTGGTTTGAAAAACTGTTGTGTTATGATATCTTTTAAACATGTGTTATTTATCACTAATCCACCCGCTGAATGGTGCAAATCTCTAAAATACTGTTAAGTGCATTTTGGTATGTTTTTTTCCTATTCAATATTGCATTATATATTATATTATCATGGACCCAGATGGTGCTTTTTTGGTGTATATTACACCGGTGACTTGATCTTGTCGAAATATCCTTGTACTGTTTTTTTCTGTAAATAAGATGCAACTAATGAATCATCCTGTGATGTTCCTGTTTATATATAAATATATATATATATATATATCAAGCACCTAATTAAAGTAACTTAATGCTGTACATATAAAAATGACATGTTTTCCTATTTGTATATTGTGTACAGAAAGAAAACTGGATTTGTTAATAATGTACATTAAAATGGAAAAATAACATGACTGTTATTCTTTAACATTTCTTTGAAATACAAGTGAAGATAATGCATTAATAATAGGAAACTATGCACATTACCCTGGTTAAGATAAACTGAAAGGGAGAAGCAAAAGAGCTTAGGAAAAAC